TGAAGTGAATCAGTATGAAGTGACTTTTCACTTTAAAAAGAATGTGATAAGTATACTATTTAAAAGTATAATGACGGATATTAAGAAATTTGTACAATTTTATGGTATTTAAATATGAATTTGTTAAGTCAAATCTTTTTATATATATATTTTTGCTTGAGATATGTAAATTAAACTGAAAATCACGATCATATCTTTCTCATGGAATGTCAAAGTTCATTTGTATTAAAAAAAAGTGCATGAGCAATGAAAATAAATAGAACAATACTTTTTTATTATGTTTTTACCATGGTCTTAGCAGTTATGCCATCATGTGTTCTGTTCAACAAAATTTATTTAGTGCAAACAATACTACGAAAAAATATTGAAAAATACCTTGTTTTACAATATTTATTTCCCTTAGTTAACTTAAATATCGTTTTTCATTTTCTAAGGCTTCCCTTTACGAAAAGAATTTAATGTTTATAATTATTTTCAGCATTCGTACGAATTCTATATGCATAAAATAAACATTTTCTTTAACAAAATACTTAATCGGAAAGTATATACCCGGTATTTCCGGTGTATCTACCACATATAAAATGATCATTTTGCTTTAGTTTACATTTTTTCCATTACCAAAATCATGTAGCAGACGCGTCGGCCGATGCGTCCTGTCTCCCGGGTGACGTCACTACCAGCAACCAATGGCACGCTTTTTCCGTTCCTGGCCTAACCTTAGTATATTAAAGAACCTTGGCTAGTGGTATTTTCTTCCACTCGGCTTGGAGAAGACATAGAAGTTCCTTCACCGATTTTGCACGGGTAGTGCACCCCTGAATTCGGCGATGCAACTCGTCCCAGAGGTTCTCGATAGGGTTCAGGTCTGGATTCTAGGCAGGCCACTCCATTCGATGAACTCCATTGGCACCATACCAAGCCTTGGTTAACGTCGAAATATGCCAACTGGCATTGTCGTCCTGAAAGTAACAGGGGTCCAACCGTAAAACTGCCACAACGTAGGAAGCACATTAGTTCATTCATCCAAAATAGTGCAGTAGGCATCGGAGTTGAGCTTACCATGAATGGGGACCAAGGGTCCCAGCCCATACCAGGAGAAACACCCCCAGACCATAATTCCACCTCCGCCGAACTTAACTGTTGGCACAATACATTCTGGCAGGAGACGTTCTCCAAGTAGACGCCAGACCCAGACCCTGCCATCCGAATGGTAAAGGGTGAACCTTGATTCGTCACTCCAAAGAACCCGTTTCCACTGATCTACGGTCCAATTTCGATGTGCTTCAATCAAAGGCTTATGGGCATCAGCACGACCACCGGATACCTGTTGAAACTCCTCGCGGATAAGGGCCATCGGTTGGGTGAGGTTCTTCCGAATTTCTCAGGACAGCACTCGTCGGTCTCTCTATCTCCCAGTTTCGTTGGTCTGCCGACTCGGGGCACATTCCGATAATCACCGCTCACCTTCCACTTCTTAATCACATAGGCCACTGTCGATTTTGGGTACTTCAGATCGCTAGATATGTCCCTTAAGTATCGGCTACATTTGTGATACCCGATAATTATACCTTTCTCGAAATCAGAGAGCTCCGAACTGCGAGGCATCTTGCATGCGACTAAAGCCGATGCTGTTTCCTACACGATATATACCGGCGGAGTCCGTGACGTACCTTAGGACCGCAGATATCGTCATTTGCATAGGGGTCCAAATACTTATTGGTAGTCAGTGTAGCAGTCCCATACACAAAATTTCGACGTCCGTGAAGAACAAAAAATTCTTTAAGCAGAAATACCGAGATGTATCTAATGAAAGATTTAAAAAAGACCTTTACTATAAAATTCATGGCAAAAGTAATGTTTGGTTTCTTTGCAACGCCAGTTTAAATTATATTCAAAGTTACTGCAACTGCATAGTGCTGATAGCTCTCATAAAACATTCCCTGAAGTTTTTCTTAAGATGTCTTCAATGCATTCATCCTCAGTCGAGAGAGTAGTCCTCTAATGGGCACGGATATCAAATAGCTCCGACCTTTCGGCTTCACGAATTAATTATTTTTCCTTTTATAGCAGTCTTGCTTGTGATATAACGGCGAAGAATATCAATACTATTAAGCCACAGTTTCGTTTTTAATATAAATACTATTCCGATATCTGGGCAATTCCTTCTTTCTGTGTAACTATGTCTGCAATAGAGAGATAACTAGCATGTGGAACAATATGATATTCTGTGATGGGAGCGAAGTATTCTACTGTAAAAGAAGATAATTCATATATTGTTTTCCTTCCGTATATTTCATGCAGAATAAATAGGACTTTTAAGTAATAAGAGACCTATCACCGTTGATTATACAACAAACTGCCAATTTTTTTCTCATTCTCAGTGTCTGCAAGATTGCAAAACATCGACTTCCATAAAAATAACTATTTAAAGTCTGGTTAAATAATTTGCATCCAAAGCACATTTAAATGCATGTACATGTACATGCTATGAACAAAGTGATTAATATTTCATTACATGCTGAGTCGAATGCTTTGGCCATTCCGCTTGTTTTTCATGATAATGTATATGATAATGTATAGAAGCCTCATTCATCTCTCTCTCTTTGTCTATTTACACATAAATATAACACTTGATCATATAGCTATAAATATACATACATTTTTGTGTATAAGTATTATTGTGTAGTATAATTATTAAGTATCAGTACATATGTTACGGTGAAACACCGAAATCTGGAGAATGTCGACTTTCACCGGTGAATGTCAACATTCACATAGTCTCTTGGTGTATGTCCGAAATATTTTCCAAATACTCTTATTTCTGACTTACACCGGTCAATGTCGACATGGTGAATGTGAACATATAACAATATTATATTTTCTTCTCCGTAATTCAGTCGCGAATAAACGCACTTGAGACTTGAAATAAGAACTTAAGAACATGAGAACCTAAAACGCACAATACATTCAAAATGAGAAAGGAAAATAATAGAAGTTAAAAACTTACTTAATTATACAGCACGTTCTAAATGAGAAAATAAAATAACAGTAATAAAAAACTTACTAAATTATGTGATTCAAATCTTATTTATTGACACAACTTAAACTATTATGACACTTTATGACCTCTCTTTTCGACTTTCACCAGAGCATATCTGTGATTGTCGACATACACCGGTGAGGGTCCGAATATACAAGAATGTAGTGAAATATTCGGTCTTTCACCGACGTATTTGGTGAATGTTGATATTCTCCGGTAAAAGTCGACATTCTCCAATTTCGATCTTTCATGGTAACATGTGTTAATATAATTATTTATATATATTTATGTGTGTGTGTGTGTGTGTGTATCTATTTTTATGTATAGTCTTCTTAAAATCTCGTTGGTAAACATTGACTAAATCTCTATATTTTGATATTTTATGAGAAATATGCGAGACATTTTCTGCACGTGAATACAAACAGTAATTAATTTAAGTCTTCTGTCTTGAATGAAAGAATTAGCTTATGCTACATTATGAAGTGTGAATACTCCTTAATGAAATATTCTGTGGTTCTCCCGGCATGATAATTTTCTAGCGTCGATTATTCACATTAATTACAAGTTTCGTAATGTTTTTATTCGCATACTAAAAGGTCGTACGTTTGCTGGCTGACCAATAACTATTTAATGAACTCCAGCTATAGTTTTATTTTAATTCATGGCAATAATGTTAGATGCTCTGAAACGACTTACATTAACATTTATACGTTTCTGCTAGCAAAATGAAACCTTTAAATACTCCAGTCGTTCAAGCTTCATTCCTCCACGTGCTAGTCTAAGGATATGTTTTCTGATTATTTCACGATGAATTAGTGACTGTAAAACAGGTTTCATTTACAACATGTCAGTCCGTTTTAATTTTGATTAAACCTTTTTTTTTAAATCTCACGCAACCAGATGCACACGCAAAAGATAGACTGAAAATTAATATGACTTCTGCTAGACTTTTTGTTAGCAATATTGTTTTTTATTATAGGTTGAGGATCAAGAAGTCATGTGCCAATCTGCATTCTCCAAACACGCTAAAAATTGCATTATGTCAGAAGATTCGATCATGAATATATATGGATAAACCATTAAAATTTTTAGTATAATAAGTCTTATTTTCATAAATTAAAAAAGTAATACATTGTTGGAAGAGCCCATATGTTGCACTGTTGTTGCAAAATGAGAGCAATCTGGGAACCAAGTCCTTTAGTCTTACTATTTTTACTTCTTGATCCTTCTGTTAAGTGCTTCCCGCGAGAAATATTTAACGCATATCTCAGTTTTGTTTTAATATTTGATATTAAATCGTCTCAAATTCGTTAATTCAATACGCAACGAAATCATTAAAAATTTAGTAATTACAACTAAAAATGGAGTTAATAAGTGTAAATGAAACCTGCGCAATTAATATAGTAATAACTGGAACTAGAAGTTATCCGGTTAATCAAAAAATCCGAATAACTGAGTCGCCCTTTTTTTCTGACAGCAAGTAACATACTTATGGCAATGCAAGTGAGGGAAATTTAGTTTATCCTTTTCAGTTTCAACCAAAAATATGTACTTAAAAATATATCACACTTCACATTCAAGAAATAAATGTGTAGTTTATACTCAAGAATAATATACGAAGGAAGGGCAAAAAGAGGGAAGAAGTATACAAAAAGACATTAAAAAAAATGACTACATTTACTTCGTATATTGCAAGGCAAAAATTCCTCGCATTTGAGCTACTACTTATGAGGGAAAAAAAGAAAAGATTTTCTAAAAAAGTCTATACATCCTTGTCAAATAAAGTATAGTATAGTTGATTTTACATAAATTTTGACCAAATGCATGTTTTATAGCTGGAATTTATTTTCCAAATTGATACGATGTTTTGTTTTAACGACTTTCTTTGTGAAATTTATTTGTATAAATTTACGTTTAAAGGATAATTTCAGCATTTTTTACATTGAAATTTATTTTTTAGAGTGACATATGTCATCAGAGTGTCTACGAGTTGGTCCATTCCGAGGACAGAGAAGAATTGCAACGCCACCTTATGTGGAATTCACACCTACCTGCTGAAAGGACGGACTTAAATTTGCAGCAGGCTTTGGCTGCAGGTAAGTTTATTTATAAAATGTAAGATAGCGTTTGAGCTGCTGTGATATTTAATTTCAATATTCTAGACTACAAAACCATAATTTTTTTTTGATTCAGAAATTATGGGTCAAATGGCATTTCAGATATTAAGCATTTAAAAAACTTTGGTTATTTAATCACTATAAAATTCCGAGTATTTTGTATCTACTCAAAAATAGTTGTAATATTGCAAATTATCATATTAACTTCTTTAGTGTGATTTTCAAGTGCCTTAAAGGGATTCTATGAAAAACAGAGCTCAAATAACCAGCCAAGTATTTCTACTTCCCATTAAAAGGCATTGTTTTTTATGACAGTCATCACTAACCCGAAGGAAAATTCTATAAATCAGCTCTTGCAGTTGAAAAATCTTTCATCATTTAAGTCATCAGATTCATAATGGATTCATTCTGATGAATTATTTTCTGGTAAATGAAACTATTGTAACGTCACCGAGCTTTCGGGAGGGCAAAATTAAGACCGGTTTTCCTTTTTTAGATTTATTTAAAAACTTAACATAGTCTTTCATGATTAATTGAAAAGTAACATTACAGCATTATTACAGAAGGGAAACGACCGCAGCTTTTCCGTTGTGCGATGCGTCTTACTCTCTCGACATGCCTAAGACAAAAGCTTTTTTTTTTTTTTTTTATTTTTAACTCTTACATGATAAGTCAACGGAAGACCGTTAAAGGGGACGAATTTTCGTGACCATTTTCACCGACCTTACGATGGACACTGGGGTTCGTTTTCAAGATTACAATTATCTAAATGCACACACTTGTTTGTTACATTATTAACTAGATGAATTGACCAGCCAGATCTCCAAATCTACACGCTGTAGAACTACTCTGGAAAGCTTTAGGAACGATAATTGCAGCTCGCTTTAACCCTCTCAGAACCCTCTTTGACCTGAAAACAATGTTGCTGCAGGAATGGGGCTGAGTGGTACAGTTATTCACAGACCGATTCATTTTCAGTCAGGCTGCCAGGAGCTATACGGATGTACCCCATAATTAACCTCCTTTTCTCTTCCGTCATGTACTGTCTGCTTTAGATCCTCCTGAGTCGATATGCCTTAAGCACAACAGTGCGTAGGTACTACAACTTTCGTACCCATTTTTTTTTTTTTTTTTTTTTTTTTTGGTATTGCCTCAAGCTATGCCCATACCAAAAAAACTTCGAACAGCGGGGAATTGTGCAGTCTTTCCCTCAGTTATGAAAATAATCGACCAAATGTGAGAATTCTCTTAATTTTGAGCACCAGTATAGAACAAGGATACAGTTTGCGTTCCGAGTATTTTGTAAAGGTTTAATAAAAAATGTAGCTATAGTTTCAGTCAATTATAAATAAATTATCAGAAGAAATGATAATGAATTAATCCAGGCATAGAGGGAGTTTTACTTCACAAGAAATTATTATTTTTTTTTCCGTGGGAGTTTTATTAATCCGTCTTTTTTTTTTTTTTTTTTTTTTTTTCTTTTTTCTGTGGTTTTTTTTTCTAGAAAATTCTCACTTATTGGAAAGGAATTTCACAGTGCGTTTTCGCTGTCTCCTGGATAATACATCAGGATTTTTGGTAAGTTTTTAAATTTCTATAATTCTGAAAAGTGTACTAACGGTTATAACCATGTTCAGGTTTGAATAGTGCACAGATACTAATATTTAATATTTACTTTTATAAAAATCAAATACATTCGAGCCTGTAAAATTTTTGATTAAATTAAAATACAGTAGAATTCGAAAAATATATCTTAGCATAAGCAGTTTTCCGTTTTGAGAATGTCCAGTTTTTTAAGTTCCGAAATAAAATTCATAAAAGGTTCAGTAATTTTTCTTGGATAGGAAATTTCTTCTTATAAAACTTCCTCTCCCAGAACTCTAATCTCGTAAAGCCTAGAGTATACATTTTTATGAAATTTTATTGGCCTGCGTAAGTTTTTAAAGACATTTGTTCAAAAATTGTATTGCAACTTTTATTTCTTTCGAAAATGAAAAACCTTTTAAATTTCAACTTATGTATCAGTTATGTGGTTAGTTACCTGAGTAAAGCAAAGCACAAGAGGGTTATTTGGTTATTTGTTTAAGAAAATGTTTAATGCCTTCCTGGAGGAAATTTCGAGAGAAAGTAGTGCGTGGAAAAACATGAAACCTCACGCAGACGGGAATGAACCTGGGTCGAACTGCCAGTGTCTTAGCCTCTCGAATAAGAATGTAATTCCTTCTGACTGATTGTTCTTTCTGTCGAACTATCAGGCGACTGATATACGCCGCGATGTTATCAATTTACATTCGCGTGACAGTAAGCTTCATGTTTCGGAAGATTTTTTACATGGTTTTCACTTGACACACCAGATGAAATCCAAATAATGATGTTCTCGTTACTTCAGTTAATTAGCCAACAGTATTAGTCTCTCTTTCTACATATATATATATAAAATAATGTAAATATAAATCATAATCTAAAATAGCAATAGTCCCTTAATGCTTAATTTTAATTTGAGTATTTCCCCTCTTTATTCTAAAAATAGCAATAACTTTTATTGAACTGCGTTATTTTGAGACTAATCATCCATATCATATGATTTTCACATAATGCTGGAGACGTAAAGGGAACTAAAACAACAAGTAGCATTTGAAGCATTATTAATTATCCATCAAATGCATGGAGACCGAAACTAACTCATTCTGAATTTAGATTTCGTTCTGAATACATTGCACTTTGTTTCTGCCTCTGTTGCCACAAAGACTGCTGTTTGTTGCTTTCCCTTCTAAAAAACGTAACTGTTCTGGAACAGGCACAATTAACGTGCGAAATATTTGTAGTCGCAAAAATAAATTTAAAAAAAAAAAGGAATATTTAATCTGTCTTGGATGCCAATTTTGCTCAGTATCTACGAAATCAATATTCCTACATCGTTACGTCTAAGTCTACAACGTTACACACACACACACACACACACACACATATATATATATATGCAAATTATATACATTTTGTAGAATAATTAGGTTTTTGTGTGTGTGTGTGTGCCAGGGACGTGAAAAATGTACGATGCCCTCTACGAGACTCGAAACCTGGACCTCTCAAATACGTGTCGAGTATGCTTCCAATTACACCACGAAGGTATGCGGAAGGGAGGAAGAAAATACGTTATATACTTCCCCTTTTAAAGGGTGAGTGGGGATTGGGGGACCCAATCGTCAAATTCTTGGTGGTGACGAATTATCGTCCACGAACGTTTTCAGCTCTGGTGCCACTTGTCGAGTTATTAGGTTTTTTTAAGCAGGATATGCGAAAAATGTGCAGTGCCCTGGCAGGCACTCAAACACTGAACCTTTCGAGTATTCTTCCAATTACCCCACGAAGTTATACATAAGTAGAGAGAAAATACCTTATAACTTTATCAAGCAAGCTTCTTCTACAATTTCTACAATTAGTCATTGTACTTAGACCGAAGACACAGACTTCTGTTATAAATTAATTATTGATCTTTAAAAATGTAAGTTGCTTGATTTGATGCTGTTGATGACTTTCAACTTATTCTACAGTCTTTAATGTGCTTTCTTTCTTATGAGACTTAATACTTAAGAAATTCCTATGCCTCGGCATTTCGGAAAATTCTTAACATGATTTTTCAGTAAATCTTTCTCTTTTTATCTCAAGTGTTTTGAAGGAAAGACATGTATACGTTAACGCATGCAAATTTCGACTATGCACCCTGAAGGTAAATTTAGCTGCGTGCATAGCAGTACTAGAAAAATAAATAAATCATGTAAGCAAGCAATATTTAACACTATAATCCAGGGGAGATTTATCATTACTCTTTGAACTCCGTACGCGTGTTACAGATTTTTATGCGCATAGAGAATGTAAACGTTGCTCGAATAAGATTAGGTTCATTTAAAAATTAAGTTTGATAATTTTATTCTATTCACTTTTCTAGAGACTGGATATAAGAGGTCGAATAAAAATTTTGCATGGCCAGAATCAGAAGACTGAAGAACCCCCACTGGCTCTCTTTGCCGTCTGCACACCGTTTGGGCCTCCATCGCTCCTGGAAATGCCTCAAAAAGATTCTATGTTTAAAAGCAAACATAAACTTGATCTTTCTCTAGTCTCCATGGATGCAAGGTAAGGATTTTGTATGTGGGAATCTTTAGTTTAAGATCTGCAGCATTTTAGCTTGAGAAGAGTTCTATACAGAAATATATTGCATTTAGCAAAGTTCTACAGAAATGATTTGCGTAAAAATGTCATAAAGAATCATCTGATTCTAACTGAGGGTCCTTTATGGCATTATTATGCAAAACCATTTTTCTGTGGATCTGATAAAAGGAATTGAAAATTTAAATATCGTTGTAGTGAGGATTTCTTCTGAAGGACTTTCTTCTAAAGAGTGGAAATATCACGATTCGAATAATTCCTAAGACTAAAATTTTTGCACTGATGTTCTATACAAATGAACTGCTAGAAGTTCAATAATAATATTTAGGTCTACATTCTCTTAATGTATAATAGTCGGTTTCATGACACTTAGCTGACAAGACGCTTTGTGGACAGCACATTTAGCCAACAGGTCCTTTAATCTACACGTTCATACGAAACCGTTTTAATAAAAAATATCCATAAATAATAAAATATGTTAAAAAGTAATATTATGTGCAATTTCACATAAAATTTCTATTACACCTCTGTTCTCTTTTTTCTGTCAGAAATTATTTCCTATTTTCTCTTCTTTTTAGCCTCGCCGATAGCCTTCTCTATTTCCTTTTTAGCATAGCATTATCTTTTTTTAATTTCTTTGATTAATGAAAAGTTTCCTACATGAGCACGGCCAATAAATGTTCCGCCTTATCAATGCTATATATCCAAGTTATCTGAAGCTCTAAGGAAGGAAACTTCTACGTTTCCAAAGAAAAGCTGGTCTTAGGAAAACGTAGAATTTGGTCGAATAAATATGCAATATTTTTAATAAAATAGTTTTATATGTTCTTATCCAAATGTACATGCTGTCACCTAAACCTGCTAAGCGTGTTGTCGGCTAAAACGACACATGGGCTAAGTCTTCGTGTGGCTTAGCCCATGCCACAGCTAAAAGCTTTCGACTAAGTGTTTTAAATATTGTCGGCTAAGTTTCCGACAGCGACAATGGTTAGCGAATCAGCCCGATAATTTGAAGACTCGTGTTCGATTTCAGGCAAGGAGACAGCAAATTTTTCGAAGATGATTCACTCATAATTTCCAAATGTATTTATGCTCTTCACTAGAATATGGGTTCGTTCTTCTCAGCTCGTGAAACTGCGTGTGAAAATTACAAAATGTGTTACAGAGAACAAACACACTTTATTGCCGCATTAAATGCTGTAACCTGCGTTCAATAAGTAAAACTCTTAACTTTTTAACAAAGTAAAATTTAATTGCTGACAATTTGTATTGTACTCTGCATAGTCAGGAGAATGTATCTAAATCATAAACACCTATGCCCGAAATGATAAATTCCAGTTTTAAGCAAAACAGGTATATAAAAATACAGCAGAATGTTTATTGAAAGCTTGAAGTTACAATCCAGAAGTCTGCAGTTGTAGTATTAATTAAATGCTAAATTTAAATTACATTGTTACGCATTGCTAATGATGCAACATTATTAAAATGATGTTCTGAATTAAAGCAAGGTAGTAAGTACATAACGTGAGTCAGTCAAATTCGGTCAAGAGAAAGGTCTTTAATTAGCAAGTACGCTTTTCCTAGTTTCTGCTAAGAGTTATTTAATAAAATAGTCATTAAACTTACAGACTGGCTGGGTTACCTGAGTACATATTCAAGAATGAATTAAACGTAAACATTAAGCCTATAGTACAAGAATTCATTTTAATTTTTACAACCAGTTAGGAATTTATTAAATTCGCTGTCTCACAAATCCTCCAGGTGCGTATTTACCCTCTCTTTCTAGAAAAGAGAGAGAAAGAATGAGAAGGAGAGAAATTAAGGTAAATAAAATGCAGGTAAAAATTCATAACACAAGTATAAATGGCTGATTTTTTTTTCCTCCTAATACTTCAACAATCTGCTTGCCATTATCTTAGCTGACGGGTGAGCTCATAAACGTGAAGTTTAAGCTCAACTGCTGATAGTGTAGATCTTTTCAACCGACTTTGAGTTACTAATTGCCAATGAATTAACGCTTTGACTAAAACCAGACTAGCACAAAACAAAAGTTAAAATCATCAAAATTTTATTTTATTACTACGGGTAGTTTATAACTAAAAAGAAGAAAAAAAAGACGTTAAAAATTTCCCAATTGTTTGTTGACACGAAATTTGTAACAAATCGGACGACCTGCTGATTTATCGACGTATAATTATTAAAGGTTATTAACTCTTTAAACAAAATACCTAATTTTGATCTTTATCTAACCAACTGTTCAAGGGGTTCACTTACCACTCAGACCTGATTGCTGCCTAAGCTTATGAGGCCCGGCCCTGGGGCTCTAAAATCATACTATAATCCCGTTCTCCTCTCACGAAAATGAAGAAAGTGAGCACAGGGGCTACCTGAAAGAGCTTAGTGAATAGGACTCAAGATTATCTTAACCGGATCCTGCAAACTACTTGAGGGCGACAAGGGTTCAGTGTGGCCTCAGAGATCACATATACTTCCTTTGCAAACTTAAATACATGGATCAGCCCAAGCAATAATCATCAGCAAAGAGATTCAGCTTCACACAAGAAGGCCTGAGTTGCAGTTAACACTCGCTTACTTTAAATTTGCATACGTTTCTAATTTGAGCGAATATATATTATGTGAATCAAGCAGGAGGCACCACAAGTGTTTAACTAAGCAAAATGCATCGAAATTTCATGCAGGTAGAATTTAAATTAGGATGAGAACAGCCAGCTCACGATTTCTGTTTGGTTTATTGTTTTAATGCAAACATAATTAAGTGGGAATTGGGCTTTTAAATGACTGCAAGCTGTGTCATTTTTATTTCTTTATTTTCATGACACAAAGACGTTTAAAATAAATTAAGTTTATTTACCTGATAAATCTTTCAGTTTATTTAAGTAGTTGCCTAATGTGAAAGCTCTTTGAAAAAAGTGAACAAAAAGTAAGAGCTTAGCAATGAGTAAAAGCATTCATTTAGAAATGGCAAGACACTGCTCGTACTCAGTCACGATCAGCAGTTACAAAGACAAACAATTAAGCAAATTATGTGTTTAGTAGCTAGCTTTCGCTGCTTAAAATTTTATTCTTTCTCCTTATTTATTCTATTTCTTAATTTTCTTTCCTGTGTAGAAAATGAATTTGCAGAAGAAAAAAAAAAAACATAAAAGTTTAGCTGTAACTAAATATCTTAATATCCCATTATAAGAAAAAGTTTTATTGAAACGCAGATAATTTATATTCATTTAAAATTGAATTTTAATTTTCGTTCAAGCTAACTACGAAAAAAAAAGAGGCTCAAGTTAAAAGTTATAAAAGTTACGCAATCTATCCCTGCTGTATTTGAAACAGTGACATCAATCTATGATACGTAGTCATAAAATATTAGACGATGATAATTCTCCCTTTAGACTTTTAAACTTTTAATGGTGTGGAAAATATGTTCATGAAAGTGAGTGCTGGGTAAACTGTGAAGATATAGTAAGGCGTGTTTAGATGCCACGTAAGTTAATTTTACTTAACAAAATTTGATCTCTGAGTTGTTTGAATCAAGGATTTGTATGCCTTTTGATATTAGATAACTCTTAGTTTAGATTTTCTGTTTCTCGTTGTCATTGCGTTAAGTTATACAACTCGGGAATTTATCATCCATGCCCAATAGCAAATATTGCCACTCCAAAAGGCATAAGATCTTTCATTTACCGTCATTACTTCGTAAACTACTAGTTTCGAGAAGCGTTTTCATTCGGCATTTTAACTTAGCTTTCAAATTAAAGTAGTTCATGGCTGAATTAAATCAGAGATTAGAAGTAATATACTCACTTTTTAATAATTTACACCTTTATTTTATTTTAGTAAAATGTCTGATAAATTTGATTTATGAAACATCTAATTCAAGTGATTTAAATTATAGATAACTAAAGATTTTCATAAACGTTTGTGTTATTATTCTAAATAATCAAATTTGCTTCTAAAGGCATATTACGTTTCAACAGTACACACTAATCATTTGCGTGCGTCCTACCACTGAGATCCTGATTTTATTAATAGCTGATAATTCTACAACGAATAACTCATACTGTCAGTGGTATTTCGGCTTATGAAATCCATGAGATGCTAGACAAGTTTTTCAGGCAAAAAAAAACAACAGTGGGATTTAAAAAAAAAAAAAAAAAAAAAGGTAAGAAATAGTTCCCTACCTACATAAACAAGTCTTGAATTAGTTACTTAGCTACCATATGAATCCCACAACTATAAAAAAAGGGTTGATGAGCTGAATGATGAATATTTTTTAACAAAGGTAAAATTTCCAATCGCAACAATTAATAACAGTGAAAGAATGCGCATGATGAAAATTGATATTACTGAAAATGATACCATTGACAGCCAAAACTGCCCGAATTTATTCATTCACATTCCTTAAAGTAATTAAAATTAGGAACATAACTCTTAACATTATTCCCTTAAGATTATAAACAGTTCTGATATTTTTCGACTGCGCTTGCAACCTGAATTGATTTAACATTTCTCACTTCAACTCAAGAATCCTGTTTAAGAATCGTATTTCTAGTTGCATTTTCCTACGGTAGATGGCGATACTGAAAAGCGATCTGTATGTTACCGGTAATAAATGCAGCTATATAATACGTAGGCATTTTATGGTATGCTTGGCTCTTTTAAGCAAAGTATGAAGTATGAGAATTATTATATACTTTACACTAGCATTATATAGAATGACAAATTCTCTAAGGCAAAGTATGGAAAAAAAGGTCATGATAAGGCTGTTATTTAAAAAGCGTTCATTCCCTCAAAAATACAAATGCTATTTTGAGAAAATAATCAAAACCTGCGATTGAAATCTTTTATTCAAAATACGTAAAAAAAAATAGTGAAATGATCTTGACACACCATAATAAATTTGTATTCGCGCTGAGACTGGAAATTAATAAGATATACCTGACAACGAAAATTAAATTCAGAAAGTCTCATAGGTTTCACAACATTGTCCTTTTTAGTACCCTTTTATTTTTCTTCTGGCAGGGCTCACAAAAGTTCAATGACATTATGTGTAACACTTTCGTATTTGTTTTAAATTTCTTTCGACATTCTGTCATGCCCTCCGTGTCCAATAGCCAAGTGAGTTTCATGAAGTACGTGAAATAAATCAGTGTCCGTGACGTATACTGTGTAGTACTGACGTCTTCTTTAATCAGATGAATGATGTTACTTCCCCCCCCCCCGCAAACATCACATCATAAAGTTTCGTAACCAATAGTACCGTTGTTCCTTCTTAGCAGTACTAAGCATTAACATGCATTTCACACTTTGCCCATCCCCGGTTTGTCATTTGGCATTCTATAGAATGCCTAGGCAATTTATGAAATGTTTAATAGTTTCATACATTGTCGGCCAGTTTTCGGCCTTCTATAAAATGCCTAGGTATTCTATACGTCAAATTTCATACTTTGCCGGTAACATATGTAGGGTGTTTCCGCAAATCGGTTACAAACTTTCAGGAGAGACAGAGTACACCTAGACGATGGAAAAACACTTAGCAACTCATGGTCGGAAACGCTTTCCTGGTGCGGTAGTTACGACACAAAACACAAAAAAGGAAGAATACGAACAGGGTGAGAATATATGTTTACTGTTCTTAGTGCAGCGGAAACCAAGAAATAAGAACAAAAAAAGACGATCTTCATCAAAGAAGGTGTTCGAAATAAAGTTCGGAAAGTATCCTCAACATGGGATCGGCAGGGTGATCCGGTGCTTTGGCAAGAAGATCGCTCTTGGGGTACGTCAAGACATTGCTGTATAAAACCCCCATTAGAAGTGCTGAGGAACTTGTTGCAAGAAACCTGGCAGCTGCTGCGGAAGTCCGGGACATGTCTGTTATTTTCCAGAACATTAGATCTTCATGTGCCGAAGATGTGAGATCTGCAGTAGGGTCAAGAATCTTCGAACATCTTCTTTGATGACGATTATTATCTATTTTTGTTCTTATTCCTTGATTTCTGCTTTAACTAAGCATAATAAACATGTTTTTCACCCTTTCCATGTTCTTCCTTTCATGTGCTTCATGTTGTCACTACCGCGCCACGAAGGCCTTTTCGACCATACAATTGCTATCTGATTTTCCATCATCTAGGTATAACTTGTCTCTCCTGAAAGGTTGTAACTGATTTGCTGAAACACTCTGCATACAGTGATATATCCACAGAGTGTCTACAAGCGGTGTAAAGGAATACTAAATTTTATTATCACTCGATTAACTGTATTTAATACTTTTTAACTGGTATCCAAACATAACTTTCTGTAAGAATGCTATATCTAATTCGAAATTTGTATGCTATTGTGAACAATTAAACCAAAATAAATATTCTCCAAAAATAAAAAGTTCTCATTGTTAATCACTGTAAGCAGCTCTCTGTTTAAATAATTCCCGAGTGCATTTATTCTGTATTTACTGTTTTAATGAATAAATAAATATTTATTTCGAAATTGACAAGGCCTTTTTTTCCCCATTCCCAGAGGTAAACAGCTCTTGGGATATTCAGATTCTGAACTGGCAAATAAAGGCGGGTACGACCTAGTCCATTATGATGACCTAGCTTATGTTGCCAGTGCACACCAAGAATGTAAGTATCTGTATATAAGCAGTGTTTTTGTTCCATATTGTTAGTTAAGAATCTATTATTTTATTACAAATCAGCTTTGAGAATCGTATTTTCCATTCGTGACATTAAGTGCCATATTTCCAAGAAGAATTTGTTGTAATTATTATTGTGCTCTGAATAAAATTTATTGATAATATCTTGATATTTGTAATTCGTTCTGCAACTAGTGTAACTTTAGATTTAAATCTATCTTTGACCTGTATATTTTAGTGTTGAAAACTGGAGCGTCTGGACTCATAGCATATAGGCTGGTTGCAAAAGAGGGTAAATTTCAGTGGCTACAGACTAGCGCCAGATTAGTTTATAAAAACAGCAAACCTGATTTTATTCTCTGCACACACAGGCCACTAATGTAAGTATGTGCTAGGTTATTTAATCTATTTAGTACAGTTCCATTCCCGAAAAACATTTAATGCATATTTTACTCAAATTCCAAAACAATAAATTCAAGATTTAACTAAGTTTTTTTAATACCGTAATATTAAAAAATTGGTATTAAAATAATTGTTTTAATTTTTATCAGTAAAAGTTTAGTACAATAATTTTGAAAATATGAAAATCTCAGGCTAGTTTCCGTTCATTTACTGATTAATTAATTTACTTAAAAAAATCAGTCGAAAATCCATTCTGTGTTATATAAATTTTATTTTATCAGTTCCAAAGAAACTTTTGACAAATTTTGAATAATAACTCCAGAACATAAAGTTTGCATTGGATTGCAGTTTTAAAAAACCGCAGCTTATTTTAATATTAATCTACAGTAGCCTATAAAGTGGGTTAATATCTTAAATACAGAAATTTCCTTATAAAAATACAGAAATTTCCTTCCTTTATTAAGCTGAATATTTATTTGTTTCTCTCCGTAACATAAGATACATATATGCAGCATAGTATGTTAAAATGCATTAAGTAGATTAAGGTTTTATATTTAGTTACTAAAATGTATGAAATAATTAAAATGAATGATATTCATTTGAAAAGCGTATTTTACAGGGAAGAAGAAGGACGCGATTTGCTGGGAAAACGGACAATGGATTTCAAAGTAACATATTTAGACAGTGGTCTAGCGTCGATGAATGATAGAAGTGGAATGTTGTCCGACAGTGATTTCATTATGCGTTGCCAACGCAACCGACGCTATAAATCTCAAATACGAGACCTTCTCTCAGCTTCCTGCCGCAAACGTAAGGTTCCGGGGACAGATCCTTACCTGGAAGAAGCCACTTATAATAATATGTATACGTATGCACCCGCTGATAATATGAATGGACTTTCACCTTACGTTGCAGCTGCTACAGCTGTACCTCAAAACATATTTACAGCCGCAATAGATAATACACGTTTCTTATCCGCGGAGAATTTCTTGCATTATAGACATCTCGGTGGCTATTATCCTGACTACAGTCACCATACGCAATATGCAAGCAACGGGTTTTTGGATATGGCATCTGCAACAGCTAGGACGTGCTTCCCAACGTACCCAGACGGAACACAGCTTGCTAAAGAAGAAAAATATTACCCATGCCAGCTGGATAGCGCAGCAAAATTCAATGGCGATGCGCACAGCCAACAAAGACTTGTGCAACAAGTCGGTGGCGTAACCAGCAACAAGCCATCTTGTTGCGAGACTTACGCTGTGGCTAGTACAGAATCTAGCGCTTCTTTACGTGGGTGTCTCATGAGTGCCACAAGTGCAGGTATTCAACCACTGTTGTCTAGTTTAGACAGAGAACCGAAATTAGGAGATCTGAGTTGTCACAGTTTAAGTTTTTCAATTCCAACTGTGTCATCTGACTGCATTAATGTCATCAAACCTAAAAGTTCACCACTCCAGTCTCATCTCAGGGATTCTCCGCACCTCGTTTCGTCCAAAGATAATAAAAACTCGTCAGATTATGTATCCGCATTTACAAATGACACCAGGCAAAGTGTTCTCATGTGGGGTAACTCCCTCACAAGACAATCCACTGGACATCATATGACTGGTTCTATATTTGACACAAAACTTTGCAAATACAGCAGTCATCTAGATCCAAGTGCTAAAACTACGGACTTATTAGGTGCAACCAGTGGAACTGCTTGTAAATGGAGTGGCAATGCCACGACGCCAAAGTCATCCTCACCACATAACAGCACAAGCCCTGCTAGCGGAAAAGTGGCACCAGCAGTCAGTTACAGTAGTACCACTTATCATCCAGATCTTGCACATGAAGTAAGTTGGTGGAATTTACTCATTGCTTTGTACATAACTTCGTATTTTTTTTAAATTAATTATTTAATGAAATTATTACTACTAGCATGAATTTAAAACCATGTCTCAAATATTTAAAGCCACTAAGCAGTTATTTTAGTAATTATATTTTAATTTATATTTAGTTTATAACAAATGTAACATATAGAAGTTTAAGGAATGCTGTTTTAAGACAATCGGCTTTTGACACAATATAATAAGTCCTGCTTTTAAAGCCGTCCAGACTCATCAATATTTTAGACAACGCTTCCCAACCACGATTCTTGTTGAAGTTCTTGTTGAAGAAGATTTCATTCCAACCATCAAATTTGTATTTGAAAACCCAAAACTTTCTCGTAACCTTGAGTTGTACCTTCTTTAACCAATCTATGGAAAGACGAAAAAAATCACGGGAAACATTTCGTTATAACCGTAAATTAGTGATGTGGTGAATTAATTTTATTGAATTTTACTAGCGCTTTGTCCACCCGGGGTGGCTCCTGAATTTGCCGCATTTCACAACACACATCTAAAATGTTATAAAACGTCAGAACGATATACTCGAAAAAAAAAGGAAAAATATACTGTTGATGCTTGTTATAATGATTCCTCACATCTTAAAGAAAAATTACGTTATGACGAGCAATGAAATCACCAAAGTGAATTTAATATACTCTCTTCAGTTAGAGACTTTTTACATCGATAATGGAGTAATAGTTATTATGAGTGTCAACTTCTTTTATTTGTTAAATAAAGCTTAAATTTCAAATATTTTTAAACCGTCGATAAAGTTATCATAGTATATTCATAGTATTGCTGCAAAATGGTGCTTCATCATGAAGTTTCAACACCTTTATGAAGATAAAACACTATTCGCTACAGCAGTTTTCACATGGATACCCGTAATAAAATTGTCCTCACCAAAGTCGCATAGCTAAGCACATGCGGTCCTCCCCAAGCAGCACAATTTGGGGGTGTTAATTTTGATGGGAAATAATTTATATTCATATGGATCTTTGGTTATATGGCAAGTCATATGGATATTCGGAGTAGAATGAATTATTGGATTGTAGCCAAGTTCACCGTCTAAGAAGTTGACTAAACGTGGAGGACTAAAATTCTCCTTCTTCAAAAATAGGAAGTGAATTATATTCACGTTACGAAAGGGGCCGTGACTCATATTCAAGTCACGCGTGCGTAAGTACCCTACGTTACAAATAAACCACATAAGGCAGCCAGTCTGTTGCTTGGGATTTGGACCTAAAGCGGAGTGCCAAAAACCAGCCAGCTCATCCGTTGTGTGACTAGTGAGGTAGAGAATCACGAGACGCTGAATTTTGATACGAAACTTAATTGAGGAGAGAATTGTTTAGATTCTGGATTGAGTATTCAAAAGAATTACGAAAGAACTTCAATAGCTTCAATTTTTTACTATGCTTTCCTTACTCTCTATCAAAACTTTTGTATGGAAAATACGAATGACAATATAAATAAGAAAAAACTCTTCACTGAGAGAAAAAGGCTCCAGAGTGTATTTGCGATACCGCTTTGAAAAGCAAAACAGAGAGATGGGAGTGGTTCTAAAATGCACTCTCCGAACAAAAATTCCAACTACTGTAGCTCTGCTTCGAATATTCCTCACACTTGTATCATTTGCTGTTAAAGGAATTTTCCTAGATACAAATCGGTTAACAAGTACATAAGGCCTGCAAATGAGTATCTTGCTTTTAATGATACTGTAAAGCAACTAGAATAATGAAGTAAACTTCTAGAATATTATCGACCATTTTACTAACGGGAAAACAAGCAAAATAGAACTGCGTACAACTTTAAAATGCTGGAGAGTTGTATTATGCAGTTTAACAGAGTTTCTATTTATTTTCCTGTATGTCGTTTTGATATTTTACAGATTTTCTTTTTGTGTGTGTGTATGTTTTTATGAATGTGTATGAATGGGCCTTCCCGAGCGATAAAAAGCCTAGCTACGCCACTTGTGCACATCTTCATGAAGATCAGCTTTTAACTTAAAAAGGAAACCTCATAAAGTTGTTGGTACCTTTATATCAAGACATCGCTATGGAAATTAATTTTTGTTTGTTATATCAATGAGAGCAGTGAATTAAGGGCCTACATATTCTGACACGAAAAGCGCCGCCACAAAATGCCATAAAATATGCCGCCTGGGAGGGCAACCCCCCTAGCTACGCTATTGAAACAATACCTTTGAGCTTTCAATCATCTGCATTACAAGAAGAAAGCTTGGCAAGGGTTGGTTTATTATGGCAAAGAACTCGAGGGCTATCTGCCTAACGGGAGAGATAGCCTTCGTGGAGGACTTTCTAAGGAAAACTGGCGGCTCATATACACCTTACATGGGGGAAACCACAAAAACGCCCATGCAGTCAGCCCATTCGAGGGGAAGAAAACCCCGGACTGAAATGCCACTGTTCGCTCGGCCGCTAGTAAAAGAAACAGAACAGCAGAGAAAGTGTTAAAAAACAGTAGGTATAATGAAGTAGTTTATAATCTGAAGTCATACTGACGAATGATACAGTATGAAAAAAAAATGTGTATTGAGGCAATGCGAGCGATAGGCACAGGTACAGGTAAAAGTATGGGAGACACCAGCGATGTACCTTGGGCCAGCTGGTAATGCTTTCCTATACTAACTAACCCTAAAAAATCATGTTTGCTTTATATAAGAATTTACAAAGAAAGGTTGAGGAAACGGGCAGCTGAAACTTTCCAAATGATCTAGAGTTTACCTATTATGGTACATCGTGCGATCCCGCCGTACGCCCCGCATCCAGTATTTATTAAAAATAACGATCTAGGACATACAGAGATAACAATATAGTCTTAATACAATTTGAAATTCACAAATTAAATTCAATATCTATTTTGGTGTAACAAAAATAACAGATAAACGTAATTAATATATAGATAAACATAATGAGATAACTATAATAAATATTGGGAGCACAATGTTATAATGAACTGTAATAATAATACTAAGGAAATAGGTGCCTAGGGAATTACTTCAGTTATAAAAGGTTATTACAGTTTATAAAGTTCCCAAGTTGAGTCATTTTGTACATATTTACAGGTTGTTAAAATTCACTAAATTTATGCAACATGAGAACTTATATTTGACAAAAATCTAGGCAGTAGGAAGAGATTCGTTGCATAATTTTTTTAAACATCGAATACTGATGTTTATCTTTAATTAGAAATCATTGGCATGTCAGGAGATCAGTTATATTGTAATTTAATGAAGGATTCGAGAACAGAGATGCGAAGCTTATCTTGGGGATCGAGATATATGTGCGTCTTCCCTGTGAAGCATTATTTCACAAATCTTACCAAGACTTTGAAGTAGGTTGTTTTAATTGGTACTTGAGATTTGAGCGAAGCCATGGAAGGGAGATTTCAAAACCATCTTGAATAAGAGCTGCTTCTTTGGCTAATTCATCTGCCTGATCATTACCAAAATGGCCACTGTGCCCTTTGACCCATGAAATTTGGATTTTGTATATGAAGCTATTAAAATATTTCACTACATTCTTGTCTATTCGGACCCTCACCGGTGTATGTCGACAATCACAGATATGCTCTGGTGAAAGTCGAAAAGAGAGGTCATAAAGTGCCATAATAGTTTAAGTTGTTGCAATAAATAAGATTTGAATCACATAATTTAGTAAGTTTCTTTTATTACTGTTATTTTATTTCTCATTTAGAACGTACTGTATAATTAAGTAAGTTTTTAACTTCTATTATTTTTCTTTCTCATTTTGAATGTATTGTGTGTTTTAGGTTCTCATGTTCTTAAGTTCTTATTTCAAGTTTCAAGTGCGTTTATTCGTGACTGAATTACGGAGAAGAAAATATAATATTGTTATGTGTTCAACATTCACCATTAGTACATGGTGAATGTCGACATTGACCGGTGTAAGTCAGAAATAAGAGTATTTGGAAAATATTTCGGACATACACCAAGAGACTATGTGAATGTTGACATTCACCGGTGAAAGTCGACATTCTGCAGATTTCGGGGTTTCACCGTAACATATCCATTACGTAAGACGAAAAAATTATGTTTTGTAGCTAACCTAAACGACTAAACTGTATAAAAGATTGTGGCATTGTGTTGCGTTTATTTATTTAATTAATAATACTTATACTCATTGTATTTATAAAGTAAATTTTTACTGATGTAAACTAATATATTATGACTGTGTATGCAACCAAATAATTGAAATGATCATTATACTGAGGGAAAGTAGTTCTAAAGGGGTCGCTAAAACCATGTACCTTGTTGCAGGAATGGCATGCAGGCAGCCTGGCTACATGGAGACCTCATGTCAGTAAGTTGTTTCCAACAATATAACCTCGTATAACCCCTGCTATAACCAGTACTAATATTCCTCAATACATTTCCTCTCATCTTCCTCCCCAATCCTTAATATTACTAATTGTCAATTCTTACTTGTCAATTCCTGCATGAGTTGCATGGTTGTGGCGTGTTTGTTGTTTGTAGCTCTAAGCATCTTAATGCTTTGCATCAGAAATAAAATGAGTTGAATTCTTTTTTTCCTTATTTGTGTCATTGATGTTTCATAGTTTTGTTTCCTGTTTGTGTTATTTATGTTCGTATAGTAAGGATGAGAAATGTTTTGATTATTTATCGCTCAAGAAATTACTCGACTTTTTATGAAGAGAAATCTAAATGAAGTTAATGAATTTTTCAACTCTAAAGCACAGATTTCCGAGAGCTGAAGATACTATCTGTTCGAAGCTTTCGTAATTTCCTTATGAAGCGTATATATGAATTAATTTCCTCGAAAGCACTCCTGTTTAATAGGGAAAGCTACTAGTGGGAGGGAAGCATATAATCTACTATCTATTTACTCATAGGCAGAGGATTATTTTGCCATAATTTATTAACTAATTTCTTGAAAAATACGCTGTTTCAGAGCAGGAAATAATCTTAGGAGAAGCTGGTTAGTAAAAACACACCAAAGTATGAAAATATTTGTTTAAAGAAATGCCAAAAATGTGGGAAAAGTTCTCATAATGTATTTAATGCTTTTAATGCCTTGTTTAACTATATTTATGCAGCTTTGGTTTCAAAAAATAACGAAAAATTATCTACGCTAAAATTATTTCTTAAACAAAAAAAATTGTATGACTCTAATTGTAAGAATTAGATATTCCTGCAATTACATTCGCACGAACGGCCAGATTTAAAAAAGGTGTGAGCTAAAATTGTATTCTAATGCATAAAAATTGTGTTCTATTGTAATGAAACTACGTTATCATGCTCACCGTTTCGATGTATACAACTCTATTTGACATCAACTAAAACTAGAATAAATCCTTAAGGTTTATAACCTTTAATTAAAAATTAGAGCTTATATAACTTTTCAGGCATTTGATAAAACTTCATTCGGATCACAGTATAATCTCCAAAAGTGAACAATCGGAAAACCTTAAGCTTGAAACGAAAGAATGGTATTACACAAATAAAAATGCGATTTTTCTTTTGGCAGATTATGGATGCTATAATGGATAATATGTACTATATGTCATACTGTGTTCCGAAACGATTATTGCAAGCTTTATTCCTAGATATATATTTTCTATTAAAAAGTTCACCGAAATATGGCGCAGAGTTTTATAAAAATAGTTAGCTCTCTGAATGGAAGAATTATGTAAATTTAAATCTGTATTTTTAAACGGCCCATATATAAACTGATATTTGTAAAATACTCATTACGTTTTATTATGTTAAATGCAAAAATGTCCCCAACTTAGCAAGCAAAATTAGCAGAGGATAAGTGTAATCAGCAATTTACGACGCCATCTATAGATTTTACCATGAGTACCATTTAAACTCAGTAAGGAACATTTAACAACAAAAAATTTTCAACTTTTATTTTATAATTTCTTCCTAAACTTAATTGAAACATTTTCGATCACTGAAAAGCAAAGTGCTGAAGGTAAGGTAAGTAAAGGACTTGAGTCAAGTGTTTATTGTTATTATTATTATTATTATTATTATAAAATGAAAGAGAGGGCACAGAAATTAGAGTGTAATAAATTAAAGATTAGTCTGACAATCCTTAAAATTTATTCAGGAAGGTGTAACTTTGAGATTTGCTTCTGTTAACCCAGCTCTGGTCAAAAGTATGATGCCGTTCATTCTCGATTATCTCCGAGAATTGTGCGCATAAGTTATAAACATTTCGCAAATCAGTTTATCTAAGAATAACGATACTTTATTCATTGAAATTTTTGTTATACGGGAATCGTAATGACACTCAGATTTTATATTTGCAGAACCATAGGCCTTGAATTATTTTGCCAAGTCGTTCAGTTATTGTAGTATATACTGGTGTGCAAAAATTAAGGACGAAGTCGAAAAATTAGCATATCAGCTGAACGAAGTGGCAGAGCGGACAGAAAGACCAATCAGGAGATTAAGTAAGGTGATGTACGGTAGCACATGCGCAGATATGCAGGTAGACGTAATGGGGGAGTGTCTGAGTAGTATAAAGCATGTTGTCGGTATAAGATCAGTATTTCTGGCAAAGAGATTGCACGTCGTATAGCAGTTAAAATCACACCGAGTTGCTACCTCAGCGAGAAATGGCGAATAATCAATCTGTTAGACGACATCTGGATGCTTTTACCCGAGGTCGAATCATTGGGAAGTTGGGGGAAGGCAGCAGTGTGACAAGTGTGGCTGCAGAGTTCGGAATTGCTCACAGCGTCGTTTCACGACTTTGGAGACAATTTCAAACTACAGGAACAGCTATCCGGGGGGGCTTAGTAATGGTCGTCCACGAGGAACCACATCCGCAGATGACCGGTATATTGCCTCACAGGCCAGAAGAAACAGGCAGCAGACAGCGGGAGAAATCGCTAGACACACGACACAGGCGACTGGACGACCGATATCGCGTTTTACCGTGGCCAGAAGACTGCACGGTGGTGGTCTGTTTGCACGACACACTGTACGGTGTGTACCTCTAACGCCTGCTCATCGGAGAAGGCGTTCTCTGGGGTGCCGGGAACACCGGAATTGGAGAGACAATGAATGGGGACGAGTACTCTTTACAGATGAGAGCAGATTCAGTCTGAGTAACGATTCTCATCGCATACTCATCTGGAGAGAGCGGGGAAGCCGCAATCATCCCTCGAACATCATTGAAAGGAACAGGTATGGAGGTGGCGGTGTTCTCGTTTGGGGAGGCATCATGCTTGGTAGTCGTACAGACCTTCACATCTTCGACGCAGGTTCAGTCAACGGGACCCGTTATTGTAACGAGATTCTTCTTCCATATGTGCGTCTTTTTAGAGGCGCTATGGGTCCTCAGTTCCTTTTCATGGACGACAATGCACCATTGTCATCGCACAGTAGCTGCCGAACAGCTCTTAGAGAGTGAGGATATTGAACGTATGGATTGGCCGGCACGATCTCCGGATCTCAATCCCATCGAGCATGTATGGGATTTTCTAGGCAGACGCTTGGCAGCTCGTACCTTACCACCAATAACGATTCCGGAGCTTCGATTGGCGCTGCAAGACGAATGGGCAGCAATGCATCAACAACTCATTGACACCCTCATTCTCAGCATGGGCAGACGCGGTGAAACCTGCCTAGCAGTCAGGGGAGATCATATCCCCTATTAAAGACCGAATGTTTCTTGCTGGACACCCATCACAGGGATGTTTCGGCCTTCAGTCGCATTGCGCTCCATGCTACTTTTTCAATAAAGCTTCTTTTTATCCTTCTGATTTCTCTTTTAGTAAGTGTTGCTTACATTACTCATGTCCTTATTCATTGGGGATCTTACGGTATTAAATGTGTTGATTTGGAAAGCTTTTGTACAAAGTTATATTGAAAAAACCGTCTCGTCCTTAATTTTTGCACACCAGCGGAAAGGTGATTGACATAAGAGTCAGAAATAAGTGCATGAATGAACTGGGAAGATGACTACCGGCGTGACTAGTGTGGAGGATTCTCCTAGCCCAGGTCCCTTTGTCACAGAGACATTACAACCCCCTATATCTATATTTGTTATAGTAAGTTTTCAATTGCCCTAAGAAACATGTTTTTGAAAACATTGGCATTTCTTTTTCTTAACTCTGCTTGTCTCTCGCCGATCGCACATCCCATTTTCTCACTGAAGCTCACAGATAGCCCAATTTGACTAGTGGCAGTTAGGTCCTAGCCCAATTTGACAGTCCTAGCCCAGTTTAAGTTGTGGCAGTTAGGCGTAGCACATCGTTCTCTGTCTGTTCTTTGACATCTTCTTGGATGAGGCTAGGACGAGATATTTCTCTTGTACTCATAAAATACAGATATTCAATTATAATTACTATCATCATTTCACACAAATCACCATTTGTTACTTGTTCCTAAATTCTAAATGTTCGAAAATCGTCTACTCTTGTTAATCTTGGCTAGCGACTCTACGCGGGTATCCGTTAACTGCGAAGGGATTTCGCTTGAACCATGGAAAAGCTATTAAGGGAAAGCCAGTGCATCTCAGTCAAGAAACGAGCATCACTGAATTAGTCTATCACAACACTCATGAACGGGCTGAAGGCAAAGTTCTCTCGAAAATTCATATGGTTAAACCAACCGTCAGAATATGCCATTTCCTTTTCCCGATTTTTTTTCGCGCTTGTCGAACGCTACTAACTGTATTTAGTTAGAAAGTCATTGTGTTCGCAATGTTTATATAATGATTTTAGTCCTTGTAATAAATATTCCGTAAACAACAGCAAAAAAAATCGGTTGTTCATTGAACGTTGTAATAAAAAATTTTCTATATCATTTTCAGAAGCTTCGTATCTGGAAATGCATATCAAGTATCCGTTTTAGAAATAAAGCTTGCAGTAACCTACTTTGAAAACGTGATTGAGTTAGCAACTCTTAAACATTTTTCTACTTAGCGTTTTACAGCACTACAATTTTTTTAATTAATTTATTTATTTAACAAATTTTAAGCAATTATACGTCATCAGGAACAGATTCTTGATAGTGTTACATTGATACTGAATTGATTAGAATGTGATCATATTTAAAGGAACAATCTCTGGACTGAACTTTCAAAGCTTTCTTAATTTAATTCTATTTTAATTTTTCTTTACTTTGGGTTTTAATAAATAACCGTTCTCATTCAATATATACTGATATCCCCTTGGGAGAAACAGTTATTCATTTTTTTTTTTTTTTTTTTTTTCGTTCAGATTAAAATTAAGCTTCGATATATACTTATCGATATGTTCAGTGTGCAGATTTAAAGTTTTGAAAATTCATTACATATAATGTCTTCAGATTTATTTTAAACTAAAGCCGATTATCAGAGTCTGGAT